TCATATACATAATGTTCATTCCTATAAATAGACTATAAGTTCCTTGAATTCCAGAAACATGCTTCAGCTCTGCTGTGTAGGAAAGATCTTTGGATTGAGAGTCAGTAGACTTGCTGTCTAGTTTTAAACCTTGTGCCAATCACTTTAGGTTTTGTCATCCTCAGGTTTCTCAAATCAAAAATGAGAAAGTTAGGAGAGACAATGTGGTATACAGTAAGTTGGACTGGTTCTAGATTTGGAGTAGCAGGGCGTAAACCAATGCTTTGTATTTTATCACCTTGTGACCTTGGGCAAGTCAATTATCTTTGTGCTTCTGTTTTCTCACCTGTGAAATGAGTGCCTTGAACTGTATTAGAGATTCTTAATTCTTTTGGTGTCATGGACCCCTTGGCTATGTGATGAAGCCTATGGAGCCCTTCTTAGAATAATATTTGTAAATGCACAATATAAAATACATAGGATTACAGAAAAAAGTAATTACATTGAAATATACTTATCATAACATTAGGGGGAAAAACAAGTTCATAGATGCCTGGTTAAGAATGTCTGAGCTAGATGATCTCTTAAGTTCTCTTCTAGTGGCAAATGTATTACTTTTAAGGTCCTTCCCTACTCCAGAACGATATGACTTTTGGATGAGATGATCTCCATCTCCATAACTTAGGCTTCAGACATTTAACTAGCTCTTTGACCTCGGGCAAATTACAACCTCTGTCTCCTTCAGTACCTTCAGAAATGGGAATAATAGCACCTGCTTCCCAGGGCCATTGTATGGATAAAATGAGATAGCAATTATCAAGTGCCTGGCACATAGTAGGCATTTAACAAATGTTTGTTCCCTTTTCCCCCTTCCAGGATAAAACATAAAATCCTCTGTTTGAATTTTAAAGCCCTTCACAACATAGTCCCTTCCTACCTTTCCAGTCTTCTTACACTTCATTCCCTTTCATGTACTTTATCCAGTAATGCTGACCTTCTTGTTGTCCCTCAGATCTCCTGACTGTGTTTTTAACTGTGCCTTGAATGTTCTCTGTCTACTTCTCTGCCTCCTGGCTTCCTTCTAGACTCAACTTGAATTCCAGATTCTACAAGCGGCCTTTCCCAGTTCCTCTCACTGCTAGTACCTTCTTCTTGACTACCTCCAATTCCTTCCTTCCTTTCTTCCTTCTTTCCTCCATTTGTTCCCATTCTTTTGTTTGTTCTTTCCTTCCTTCTCCTGCCTTGCCTCCCCTCCTTCCTTCCTTCCCTCCTTTCCCTCTCTCCACATAGATGTAATACCTTTGCCTGCGGGTGCTCTGCCCAAAGGAATGTAAATTTTGATCAAAAGATATCTTGGGGTTTACAGGCTAGATTTCTTTCTTAAGGATCATGCCTTAAACCCAAATAGCTGTCCTTGATTGACCAACAATAGGTCCCAGCCCAAGCCTGCAGGGTCCTTGTTTGGGCCTGATTGCTCAGAGTGAATGTAAATAGCAATAGTTTCTGTTTTGGCTAGAAATTCTGGGGGTCTTCCCCTCACAGAATTTTATATATCTTATATATACATATACATATACATACATGCATAAATATGTATGTATGTGTATATATGCATGTATGTATATGTGTATATATATATATATGCATATGTATATGTATGTATACATACATATTATTTTTGACTAGGTAAAAGAGGCCATTCTTTGCTTCATTTCTTACCTAGCCTTAATCATTGAATGGGCATTTCCTCAGCCAAACTGAGACCTGGGAAAGACATTTGCTTAAAAAGACCATGGTCTCCCACTGCATCGGAGGCCATCTTCAGTAGTTCTGATCTGTATCTTGCCACTGGACCCAGATGGCTCTGAAGAAGAAAGTAAGGCTGGTGACTTTGTACAACCCTCCCTCACTGAAATCCAATTCACTTATAAGTCATGGCATCACTTTCCTGATGTCATGGTTAAGGACGAACAACAATATCTATCTATCTACCTAGCTACAAAATTGTTTGCATGTTGCCTTCTACATTAAAATGTTACCTGTTTGAGGGCAGGAACTGTCTTTGCCTTTGTCCTCCTCTTCCCTGTCTTGGCCATTGGGAGTCCTTAATAAATGCTTGATGACTGATTGACTGACTGACTAACTGAATAGAAATCTGACTACTCAGATTCATGTTTCTGTCACAGGGTAAACACTGGCTAGGCTTGTAATATTTACCCTCTTTTGCTGGACCTGTCCCTGAAGATACTGTCAGAGTCACTGGGAATTTAGCCTCAATGTGAGGCTAAATGAAGTTTCCTTCTCTTGGTAAAACAAATCTGCTGGAAGCATTGGATATTGGGGGAAAAGGCCTTCCCATGGAAGGGTGCTGGCTTTTCCAGTATTTGGACATTGCAGTCAATCATGCTGAAGTCATTAGAAAACAGACATCTTCAGCTTCCTCTGGCTAAGTGATGAGGCGCTTTTGGTAACAGCATTCTCATTTCCAGACAGTGCCTATTTTATCATTTGCAATTTTAGGGTATTTTTGACATCCTCATTTCTTTATGTAAGATCACAGTGACTTTATGTCAGTAAATTTGTCTGTGCGAAATGGTCTACTGTGACAAGAAAAGCACTAAATGGATGTGATTCAATTTTAAATATAATTAATAAATTACTGGGAAATGTTTCCATTATGAATACACTTATGTTTTGTCAAATACTCTATTTAATCCAAGTGCTCACAAAAATAGCTAGTGTCAAGTCAGTTTTTATAAAGGGAGAGAATCAGTATCAGGATTATTATGAAGTTGGCATATTGACAAGCATTTATTTTAAATAACATTGCCTTCTAGCTAAATTAGGAATATCAAACACACACAGTCAGCCTGTTTTAATTACCTGCTCTCCTTCATTATTAGAGTAAAGCTGCCCCCATGGGGGATTTGTTGCTTTCTTGATTTGCTACAGTCTGTATGTGTCTCCACCTTCTGAGGCAAAAAAAATATTTCCAAATGAATTGAATTTGATATTAAATTCTTTGAAGATTATCTTCAGTTTCAAAAAGGAGACAAAATATATAAGGTTGAGTTTGTTCTGACTTGGCTAAGAAGAAATGATGCCAACACTTTTGATTGTCATATTGGAGATGATAACTACAGTGAAGCTAAATATCTTTCTGGACAATAAATACAAATGTAATGGAGATGCTGACTCCTAGTTTTCTGGGTCACCGCATGGTGCTTAGTGACAAGCTGGGGGTGATTTTCACTGTTCAGCTCTGCCACCTTCTAGCCTCCAAGTGATAATAGGGGTGGAAGTGACATGGCTTATGGCCAGTGAGTAGGGGAGGGAACTGAGGAAGAAGTACTGGATTTGGTACGAAATGGGATTGAGAAGAAGAGGGAATAACCCAGGGAAAATGACACAATGGATTGGCTAGCTTCTAGTATTAAATACTTTTTAAAAAAAAATCAAATTGACCTAAGATATGTTGATATATTTTGTTAGCATTTTAAATATCAGCTTTGTAAGTTTAATTGTTTTTTATTTTTAATTTTATTTACTTTTCCTTTTTAAAATTTCATTTTTCATGATTATTTTGGGATTGTCAATTTATTGGCTCTCTCTTTTAAAGTTTGCATGCTCAGTTCATTAGTCCTCCCTTTTCCCCTTTTGTTAGGGTGTTTAGAGATATACATTTTCCTCTAAGGACTGCTGTAGTTGTATCCCATAAATTATGGTGAGTAATTTCACTGGTATTCTCTTTCATATCATTATTATCTCCTGCCCTATTATCTTCCATTTATTTTGCACAAATTTTAAGTATGTAAGCTCCTTGAAGATACTCATGGCTTTGTTTTTTGTATTTGTATCTGTAGTGCCTAGCACATATTACATTCTTAGTAAATGCTTGTTGAATTAAGCTACCAATCTTTGTACATCCTCTTCTCTATTATGTGTAGCCCATAACTGCACAAATACCTGTGTCAAGGAATCAACAGTTTCTACTCTGTTGTATTTTTTTTTTAGGTTACTCTTAAGAGAGATGACCTCAACAGGGTCAGATAACCAAAAATACACCTTAGTCTGAACTCTGTTACATATAGTTTCTACTTTTCGAATTTTGTACTTTTCACCCCCGTCAGTGTTAATCATTCTTCCATTACTATTGCTCATTCCCCAAAGAGAACCCTATAGTTCCTGTGGGAATAGAAAATAGCTGCATTTTGTAATTGGTCTGGAATTCCCTCCCTATTACAAAACCCCACCAAGCCAAAATTTCTAATCAGGCAAAGATTTTTATGAGTGAGTGAAGTGAAGGTGAGAGAAAGGGAATGGGGAGAGAACAAGAAGAAGAAAAACAAGAGTGTCACAGTTCAATTCACATCCAGAACTTTAATATCCCTTCCTTTTTATATAATTCATTAGCACTTTCCTCCAGTAAGTCAACTTCAAGTGTGTCCTTCCTGACCATAAATCTAACTGTGCCTCTTTCAAAGAGGCTGCGTGGACTTAAGTGTAGGGAGCTGTACATGGGGCTAAACCAGCCCAGTTCAGTCCCATGCCTGGCCAGTGCACCCCTGTAGACAAAACTTCCTACTGTTGGGTGCTGCACTGGGGAGGCAGGAGTAGGAACAGGAATGAGTAGAAACAGGAGAGTCCTGAGTATGGGTCCAAGACAGCGACCAGGTAGGTATGGGGTAGGACAATTCTTGTCTTCTGATTAGTAAAGGTCCAGGGTAGCAAGGTGAACTTACCTGTACCATCCATGCGGCCAAATGGGTAAAGGGTAATGGCTCCCTACTTAAAGCCCCAAATTGACCCAGCTTCTGAGCATACCTAAGCATGTTACTCCCTGCAAGTTACTGAGGACTTACATAAATATTACATTCCACTTTCATTTTTTTGCATCTGAGAGGGCATCTTGAAATGTGTGAGGGGATACTCGTATCAATCTATATAGTAAATATTAAAACAGCTTTTTTTTTTGAGATTAAAAAAAAAGAAATAATACTATTTTCTTTCCACACCTTTAGGAGTTGTCTTGAGTCACTTGTTCAATCACACCACCTGATTTGGGAGATCTATGCTCTAAATGACCTTTAGTCAAGGCAGGCCTTTTTGTGTCTCCTCCTTATAGCACCTAAACATTGTCATCTCTTATTTCATGCCAGGTAGGTTTGTTTACCTTATTAAGTTTCTTTCTTTCTGTTTTTTCTTTCTTTCTTTCTCTTTTTGGATGAAAATACATTAATATACATTAGTTATCTCACTTATTTTTTAGAAGGATGGATTAAAGTCCATGTTCCTACTAAAGATTACTTTTTCTCATGAAGAAATATGCTTGGCTTTGGAGATTATGCTTTTCTATGGTGCACCAGTTTTTGTTTTTGTTTTTTTCTTTTTGGTATATCACGTTCCACTGTTACATTTTCATTTTTCAATGTTGATGAATAATCCTGAGTGATTTGAATGGGAATTCTTTTATTTTTGAATTACTTCCTGCTGCTTATAAGATTCTGTTTAATATTAGTATTCTTGAACTTGGTGACTATATTTCTCAGTGAGTTAAACTTAGATTTTATCTCTGTTGATGTCCTGTCAATTTTTTTGACTTGCAGTTTACCTTCTGTTTCTAATGCCTCCAAAACATTTGCTGTGTGATTTCTTTGAATATGTCTTCTAGGCCCTTAATTTTTCATTTTCATTGTATTTAGATCTCTTTTCTTCACATTTTTCACATTTTTTTTACTGCAATTTACTGTCTTTTTTTTTTTTGCAGGGTTTTTCTGTGAAGCGCTCTCTCTCTCTCTCTCTCTCTCTCTCTCTCTCTCTCTCTCTCTCTCTCTCATTGGGGTTACTATTCTTTTTCTTTGGTGCATCTACTGCTATTTTGAGATGGTATATGGGACCTGGACTTAACCTTAATCAACTTCCAAACCTTTCTGAATGAAGTTGGATTTTCTTTCCACCTTGCTCCCATGACCCTCAATTAAATTGAAATCAATTTAAATTCAAATCACATATACTTCCCCCTTTACCTGGAAGCCTTGTGCTATTTCTTGAGGCTATAAATGGTTACAAAGAGCAAAGTTTCTGTGTTTGACTATTAATATTAACAACAAGAGAATTACAGGCAGGCTTCCAGGACTGCTTCAGATAACTTGGATGAAACTCATTACTTGTTGCTAAGTGATTTAGGTAAACAAGAATTAATGACAGTAAATTGGGATACCCTGCCAGCAAAAAATAATTAGCGCATTTTTGAGAATCTTCCTATAGTGGAACAGGAAGAAAAGAAGGATTAGGGTAAATTTTCAGTGACCTTACTAAGGAACAGAGTTAGCACTGGTAATTAGAATGAAGCCCATGATAGTTCAGTCAAAAATAGACTGCATCACTTTTGTGGAGAGGCACAAAGACCAGCTATAGATAGAAGCAGTTGAATTATGAAAAGGGGATGCAACCAGAGGAGGGAATTCTTGAGGTGCCTCTTGTTACTTGAGCTGTGAGTTTTGTTGAAGGTGCTATTATCATTGGCCAGAGGAAATCTGAGGTGTAGTTTGCTTATATTTTTAGTGCTTAGGGAAGTCTGTGGGCACCACCTTGGAGGGTTGAGAGAACAGAGAAGACAATAAGAGTAGAGCTAGTGGAGAAGGAAGTGTACCAGTCGCAGAGACAGAGCTATTAAGTATTATCAGTCATAAGACAAAAAGGGCTACAGAAGACATAATTTATTTTCCCTCTCATTCCCCAAAATATGATAGAAAAACTGGTTTGGCTGAGTTGTTAAGTAAGAGTCCAGTATACCATTTCTAATTCCTCAAGGGACTTTCTTGAGTGGGAATTCTTCCTGCTGCAGAGACGTGCAGATATACAGAACTGAATCTTAAATTGTTCATTCACAGAGTGCCAAATTATATAGTCACTTCTTTCTGGCAGTGAATAGAAAGTCAGGCTGGAACTTAAAGATACAAAATCAGGTTTAGAAAGGAGTGCATTTTCCCCCATATGGTGGCTGCTACCTAGAGTATAGACATATGTGGAAGAGTTTGGCAAAGAAGGAATGGTTTTCACACCTACTACTTATAAAAAAAAAGGATGTCTTCTAGTAATCAGATAATTTCTTTGGGTATTAATATTTAAAAACACATTTTCCTTTATGTGTTATGAAAGACTAAATCCCATCTAAGTTGTCTTAGACATAAAACATTATTGAGGCAGGTTAATTAAGAGCATCCAGGTTGATGTACTTAGATGCTATATGGTAATCATTCATTCGTTTATTTAGCCAGCAAATATTAAATGAAGCCATTGTCATGGATGTACAGATTGATATGTATCTTCCAGGCAGACCTCAACCATAAGGAACCCAGTCTGAAATATTCAAGACATATTCCAAAGGAATAAATTCACATATAAATGAACTAGCTAACTATATTACCTGAACATTTATTGGATTTCATTGTTAATACAGTAATTCTTAGGACTCAGAGAAGAGGGGTAGCTGTCGTTTTATGCTTATATTGATGTGAACAATTATACTTTGTCTAAGAAAGTCAAAAGATTAGAGAACTACATATCAACTTTTCATACTTTATTCAATAGGACTGTAATAAAACTAGTGATAAGAACCAAAGTTTCATTTTGGGGATTTTTCCTTTAATTTTTATGTCTAATAGATTTTTTTAAAATAATGATCAGAAAGCTTTAAACCTCCTTTTTCCTTCGAGGTCAATATTAGGTTTGCCCAGTGGTCAACTTTGCAAGTTATTAAACTTCTATTTTAATGGGAACATAAAGATCATTACATTAAAATTGGTGCCCATCAGGGTTTCCAAGTATTCTACCCCCAGTGGAGATTTTAGAGAAGCTGTGCCATTCAGGGGTTGAGAAGAAACCCAAAGAAATCATTATGACAGGTTGAAGTTAACAGATTTTCACACAGGAAAAGTAAATGAAAAGTATATATTTTGCATAATGAAACAGATGACAAACTGGGCAAGCTGGTCTATTAATGAGCCTCCTGTAAAGCTAGAATGCATGGAAGCAAGGAATGAGCATGGAGAAGAGAAATCACTCTGATCTTAACTTTTAACAACCAATTTTAATCAAACCATTCAGGAACAGAGTTCTTAGGGCCCTGTGATGGCAATGCAATTTGAATTAAAAAAAAAAAAGATGACTTTGTAGGTGAGTGTTAAAGCATATTTTAAGTAACATAGTTAGGAATGAGCCAAGTTATGAAGAAAACTTAATTTTATTTAGCTTTTGCAGGACTCCAGATTTTCAAAGGCCTTCACAAGAGTCCTGGGTACAGTGTAACTCAGTAAAAGAGTAAAGGATTTGGAGTCAGAGGTCCTAAGCTTCTATCCTAACTCTGACACCCACTACCTCTCTGGCATTAAACTACTTACTTAAACCTCACTAGGCTTCAGTGAGACTCAACTGTAAATGAAGGAATTCGACCAAATGACCTCTAAAATCCCTTCTAACTCCAAATTTATGATACTGTGATCTGAGAATGTTTCTTTGCATCAGTACTTATAGATACATTTGTATTCCTTCCTCCATAATCAGAAAGGTGTTTAAGCAAAGATCCTAATCTTACGATGAAAAAAGTATTTTCTAGATAAGTCCATCTATTATCTGTGACACTGAAGAAATAACTTATTAAAAATAGTCAGTTGAAGAGATTTGTGTAGAGTGAATAGTAGTGTAGCCAACTATTCCAGATGTCTTAGGATAAAAAAGATTCAGGCTGTTAACAACTAGGTGAATGTGAGAGCTTACCAAATCTAAATCTATGATCTATGATCTTATGATCTGTGAACTTCCAGAAATAACTTATTAAACAAGTCTGTTGGAAATATTTATTGAAAATCCTTTGTATAGAGTGAACAGCTGTGTAGTCTGCTATTCCAGATGTCTTAGTATGAAAAAGATTCGGATTGTGTATTTACACAGCTCAAATCATCTGAATGGTAGCCAATTCTCCACTTTACTTTGTACTGCAGATAAAATTGTTCAGTGATTTAAAATGAATCATTTCTATTAAGGTACTAAGGTGGCACCAAAGAACCTGAGGGGTGATTTCCTACAGGAACCTAATAACGATTAATTCCCTATATATAATGATTTACTCCCAGTTGGGATAATCTTGGGCCTCCCCAGTTAAGGAAGGTATGTGAGTTCATCTCTGGGATTTCTTCAAGCAAAAGTGTTGTGAACTCATGCAAATCAGCATTATACTCTGGTTTGTGACTCCTTCACTCCAGACAGCTTCATGTACTTGAGTATATACACTTCCAAATGTTTATAACAGTGTCTAATTTGCTTTCATGTAAAGGAGCAGAGACAAATCCTGCTTGAGGGAAATTGAATTTATCTGATTTGCAGTTGACTCATGAATTATGATTTTGAATGAACTACCTAATGTCTAAGCAGTCTCCATTTATCCATTTTTTTAGTTTTTAGGGGGGTACTAATTAGCACTCTAGTTCCATTTTGCCACTTAACAACAAGATGGCTTTTACAAAGAGATATTTACTTCAAAGATATAGCAAGAGCAAATATAGAGATACCTTCCTCAACATATCAGAGGCACAATCTTCTATATACAACTGCATTTTCTTGGGGAAGGAGTAATATGGACAGAGATCATGCCCAAAATATAGTTCAGTTCCTAAATAGTTTCTTCCAGCCAAGTTCACATTCAAAAAGATATTCCAGATGAGTTCTTTTGCTGGACTGGAGTACCAAAGTTTACTCCCAAAGACTAATCTTTACTCCATACTTCTTAGGTAATCAATTTTGTACTGGCTGCCAAACCCAACTTGGAATCTGTTTCTCAGATTCCTGCAACTAGTTCCCCTGACCTTTGAAACTTCCAAGGCCAGAGTCCCCATTCCCTGCACCTAGAATGGAAAAGAATAAATGAAAGGAACAAAGAGGCCCTTTTCTTATGAGCTATATGGCTTTAGAGGGGAGACCCTGAAACTCTTCCCCTTAAAGCATGGGCTGTAACCAGACATTGTCACACATTCAGAATAAAGCTGAGGATAATAAATGAAAGAGTGGCATTGAGATTACCAAAGCTGATTCAGATCTTTTAAAAACTCACAGTTCTGGCTATGCAGCCAATAGGAAAAGACTCCTTCCAATCACATGGTAG